GCGGCGGGGCGGCGGGCGGGCCGCCTGCAGGCCCCGACGGCCGCGCGCGCCCGTCCGACCAGGTCTTCTGCTACAACCCGGCCACCGACAGCTGGAGCGCCGTGCGGCCTCTGCGCCAGGCGCGCTCGCAGCTGCAGCTGCTGGCCCTGGACGGCCACCTGTACGCCGTGGGCGGCGAGTGCCTGCTCAGCGTGGAGCGGTATGACCCGCGAGCAGACCGCTGGGCTGCTGTGGCTCCGCTGCCCCGGGGCGCCTTCGCCGTGGCCCACGAGGCCACCACCTGCAACGGCGAGATCTACGTGTCCGGGGGCTCGCTCTTCTACCGCCTGCTCAAGTATGATCCCAGGCGGGACGAGTGGCAAGAGTGTCCCTGCAGCAGCAGTCGCGAGCGCTCAGCCGACATGGTGGCCCTAGACGGCTTCATATACCGCTTTGACCTGTGCGGGGGCAGAGGCGAGGTGCAGGGGTCAGCCGGGCCAGGCGGAGGGATCAGCGTCTTCCGCTACCACTGCTTGGCCAAGCAGTGGAGCCAGTGCGCCTCACACCTACGGCCGCCCGGGGCCCCTCCGGGCCTGCAGCCCTTCCGCTGCGCCGCCCTGGACGGCACCATCTACTGTGTGAGCCGCTCAGGCACCTGGCGCTTCGTGCCCGCCCAGGATAAGGAACCCGGGGGCGACTCAGGTCAGGGTGGGAGCTTCGAGCCGGAGTCACTCGGAGCCCCCCTGGATGTCCGGGGTGCTCTCTTTCCGTTTGTCCTCAATCTGCCAGAGAAGACGGACAGAGGGGAGCAGGGCGCCGTCTAGGACTGGCCAGGGTCTCCTGGGCATCTCCCCTGGACAGTTCTGCAACCAAAGGAAAACAGCCTCTGGGTGTTGAAGTCCCAGATGAGGAGGAGAGAGCAAAGGGAGGGGAGGCATGGGGGGGTGGGGGTGGGCCGCTGGCCGCGCTGGATCATCTAAACGCTTTGCAGGTAGCCCCTGAAGACAGTTTTACAAGCTGTTGCAAGTGCCGCTTCCCTATTCCGCGTTCCTTTTTGCTTCACTTTGCTTAATGGGGTTAATGGCGTAAGCTGTAGGATGTGTGCAAACAGACAAGACACAGGATGCTTAAGAGAGAAGGAAATAGAATCAAAACATTGAGCTTCAGGGAACAGTGGACAGTCCCCAGATGTTACTAAGGGTGTTTTCCAAGTGTACCCGGGGAGTGGGTATCTGGGTGCACTCCGGCTTCGGAGTGAAAAGGAAGGGAAGCCAGACTTGAATTCTGCAGTACTTGCTTACCGTGTGATTAGAAGGCCACGTAGGGACCTGGGGCCACTGCACTGGTGGTAAGATCCCGAACTAGGCCAACGCAAACTATTAGAACCACTGAGACGATCACTGTTTATTTTGCTTTGAGGTTTAAAATAAAATAATAACCGATAAATAAACCTAGTTGAAAAGTTTATGCCACCACGTGCGTACGTTTTGGTTGGCTCACCTCCAAAAAGAATGACTTCGTAAGCATGAAAGTTAAAATCTGATTACCAATATGATTTCTTGTCTAGTAGCTACTGGACATGAGCGTTGCCCCTGCCATACCATTAATCCCAGACGTGGGGTCAAATACACACAGGCCTCAAGCGGAATCACATCTCCTTGTTTGTGATTGATGTAATATTTTCAATTTCAATGATGTTAATAATTATGGGCAATGATATAGTAATGAGTCATTATTTGAATTTGAAGTCTTTAGTGGCTAAATGTGACAGGATGGTATATCAGGAGTAGGAAAATCTTACTGACAAGAGGCTTATCTATTTTAAAAGGCATTTTTGACAGCCCACTATAGGTGCCGTAGAATGAGATGAAAAGAATATTATTACTAAAAAACAAAAACAAAAACAAAAAACCCCCAGAAACTAAAGTTACAATAATTTCTTTTGTATAGTTTGAAAAACAAACATGCAGGCATATTTTGAACCCCCAACTTAGAGTGTCTTAAGTATATATTGTGTAATTCCAATGAGAAAGATTAATTTTGGCAAGCAGCACTCTTAAAATGTGACAAGGGAAATGGGCATACATTGTTAAAGAATACAACAAGGGGAATAACATGTATTTTTAATATAATTTAATAAGTAAACTGCATTATCTAATCGTGGATTCCAAAATACCCTCGTGGAATTAATGTAAGACTCGCTTCTTTGACGGGGGTGAGGATTGCACGCAAATCGATGGGTCATTCCTGATTTGCTAGAACATTTTACTTTCAAATATGTGCAGACAGGACTTAGAATACTTATTAAGAGTTTGAGGATGACATACATACTGACAGGCAAACTGATTTGGATTTGGAATCTAATTCGTTTTCTTATAATGGGAAAAGTTCATATTGGAAGTTACTAGACATAATTAGATAAAGTCATGAATACATTCATACCATTTGCTTGTTCATACAGCGATGAGAATTGCCATCTCTGTAGAAATCAGTGGGTAATTGGGAAATAGGTTATGCTTTTTAGTCTGTGGTTTTGAAAGGTCTCAGTTAGGTATGTTTAGAAGCGATCAGCTTGAATCATATGCATGACCCAGAGGAATGGAATTTATCATTTTAGCTAGAATGTATTCTGGTGACTTGTATGCTTGCTCACGATCACTCTTGAACAGAAAGGACATCTTGGCAACTTGGTTAATCATCTTAGGAAAGAAAAGCAGACTTCATATTGTCTGACTTTATTGGCCTTGTATAGAAGTGTCTTGGAGATACAGTAGTAGTTAGAAGTATGTATAACAAAAGGAAACAAGTAATTTTTTAAAAGAAATGTACATTTCACGTTGTAGTACATTTTTTTCTCTAGAATGTTCTTATTAATGCTAACATTTTTATATGAAATGGGACCAGGCTAATAGTTGAAGTCCTTAAATGCCAAATTTGTAAACTATTATCACTGTGATTTTACTTGAGAAATCATTCCTAGGATGTTTACTGTTTAAAAATAAAAATACTAACATTGGGCTTTCAAAGTAAAATCATTCCCACACAAGGATATGAGAAGTGTCAGATACCAGCTGCAGGTAGCTATGCAATAGCATGCCCAATTGGAGTTTCTGTGTATTATTTTATCATTTCATTTAATGAAAGAATGCCTGCACTAGCCTTAACATCACTTCCTGTCGGAACTGGCAAGCAGACTACCGGGGATTTCCCATGATCTTATCACAGTGAAATACACAGGGAAACTGGAATCATTGATGGACGTGCAGTCCACCTACTTTTAAAACTGTAGACTTATCACCTGTCTAAATAATGATATCACATAAAAAATGCTAAAGAATTTGCCATGTCATGAGCACTGGTTTATTTTGCTTTTGGGAGGCTAGTACCTACGGTGTAGAGCCATGAGGATTTGTACTTTCTAAACCACAGAGAAGCCACACCCTCCAAGGTCTTTGATTTGGAGACTGCTGGGGTGAGGGACACCAGTCATTGTTGAGTCTCGCCTCTAGATGTCTGAGGTCCAGCGTGTTTGACCTGGTGTTCCAAATCTGAATCCAGCACTTTTCAGGAAAAAGGTTGGTGCAGAAGTATTCCTGATTATCAGTGCATTCATGACATCCATCCATAATTCTCATCAAATTAACCCATGCACACTGACATTTCCAGGTACCAAAAAGAGCCGTGATGTTCTGAGAGGAAAATGCGGGATCCACAAAGCTCGACCTTTTTGTTAGTTGACAGCCATGACTTTTGTATTGTCAATCAAGGTTCATCTGAAACCCAAAGGAGTAGGCTTAGGACTTCATTTTCTTTCTGTTTTTATTCTTTGTCTTGGGAACAACCCTCAACTTTAATCCTGATTCTTGGCAGCTTTATGGAGCTTGACTGGAACATGGTGATTTGATTTCTGAGTCTAGGGTGACACCTGTTTCTTTTCCTTTAAGAAAATGAATGTGCTGTGGAAACTCCTTGACTCCTTAAAGCCTTTACCTGTATCAGTCTTGCTGCAGACACCCGCGTAATGAATCATCTGCCCCATGTCTGTTCATTTCTGGTGTTATTTGTAATCCGGGTAGCAGCTGTTTGATCTGTTGGTCTCTTAGGTAACTTCCTGTAGAAGATTTTGAAATGGAATGTTTTTGAGGTTCTTTTGCCTTTCTAAAGTCAAGATAGATTCAGTACTTAATCTGTTGTAACACCTTACTAGGGCAAATGTTTAAAACTGTGCTCTCTTGTACTTGTCTTATTTTAGATGCTTTCCTAGCTTACAAAAAGCTTTCTTTTGGGGTTCAAAACCAATTTTTCTCTTTCCTTTCCTCTGCTGTTATTATTCATGAGAAGATAATAACATGAGCTAAAACTGTGAATGTGTGCAAAAAGTTGTCGTTGCATCTGAACTTATTTCAGCAGCCACACTGCTTATTTTTTCCACATCCAGGAAGAATCTAGACTGCGGTATTCAGGCACCCAGCCCGGAACCTGGTAGTAGCAGGTGCTTTCTCCACTGAGTGAATTGATTGGAATTGAAATAAAAGGCTAATGTGCTCCAATGGGAGTTGAAAGCGCCTCTCATGCTTGTTAAAGCCCTAATAGTACTCACATGTTACCATTCATTAAACTATACCTGTTTAAGGCAAAGTCCAGGCCAGCTGTTGCTCTGTGTGTAGCTGATGTATTTATTAACGCTTGAGTTTTGAAATCCTAGGCACAAAACGGTGTATGTACATCAATTTCATGCCAAGATGAAATAAATCATGGAAATTGCGATCCGTGCTGTGGTTGCTTTTCTCTCAGCAGCAGAACCCCAGCTGTGGAGTTCTCTCATAGGACGTCAGGAGACCCAAATACAGGTGAGACTGGGGCTAGCCCCTCCCCATCTGTGTAATGAGGAGTTCGGCTCCAGCAGTCCTGAGTTTCTAAGTCAGAGTGTCAGTGCTCACAGGTACCTCCCTGTGCCCCCGTCCTCCCTTTCTGTCTCCTTGGCCAGTCAGGACATGGCAACTTGGGCTGCCCTGCTTCCTAGAGGGGCTGGCTGCTCTGGGGTCGTCCCTCTGGGGGTGGTATGGTAGAGTGAGTGTGAGTGTGGCCACAGCGGGTGACCTGGCTAAGCTTGTAAGGAAGAAGTTTATCATACAAGGCTCATTGGGGAGGTTACCTCACACCACACATGGCCATCAAAGCAAACACCAGTGTGGCTGGGACAGGAGCCAGGCCAGAGCTGAAGCCAGAGCCTTCGTTGGCGTTTCCATGGGAAAGGTAAGGAAGGACAGGTAAACAGCTTAGACCCAACTGGTCTGAATGATTCCAGTGGGCTTTGGTTTAGAGGGGTGGTCTCTGCTTGCTTGATACCTGGCTCTGGGCTAACCGAGGACGAGGACAGAGCATATTGGCTTATGTGTGAGAGTTAACGAGGAGGGAGTCAGGACTGTGGAATTAGGGTGGCTTGGTCTGTATGAGAGACAAGCTCACAGCCAGGTCCTTTGCCATCTCTGAATTGGCTGATACTGGGGTGGGGAGCAGCCTTTCCTGGGCCAGAAAGCTCTGTAAAATGTCAGAACATCATGGATATGGGAGATTAGAGACACGATCAGTACATCGCTCCCTTGCACTCCTCTTGTCCTGGAGAGGGTGGGAAGTCCCAGTGGGCAGGTTGGGAAGAGCATTAGGACAGTGTCTGGGTCATCCCTGCTGCCCCTTTCCCTTTCATGAGCAATACCTCCTGCATTTTTTTTTTTTTTGAGGTTTTTGCTATAGGGTTTGTGTGCTCGCCAGAAAAACAGAGAGACAGAAAGCGAGAAGGGATGGCCACGCAGCAATCCCTTCTCCATCCTCCTCTCTGGATCTTTGGGCACGCACTCACATGCACCCGGTGTGAGTTTAAGTCCCTTGGTCCGGGATTCGAACCACAGTCTACTACATGGGAGTCCAGCAACATAGCTATTACGCCAACTGCTGGTCCCATCCTGTTTTAAAATTCTGAAGTGCACCCAGGCTGAGGGGAGCTAATATATAAACACTTCCACCTGTTCATCCTCCCAAGTTTAGAACAAATTGAGGCAGTGCCTCAGTCGGCAGACCCAACTGGCGCATTTATGACCAATAAGGGCTGGGTGAAAAAGCATGGTGTAGGGTTTTTTACCACATGGGTATGTGACTACTACCCTAAGCAGGTGAACCTGCCCACCCCATCCTGGGGGTTGGGCTGCTGCAGTGTCCCCCTGAGGACGTCAAGCCTGCAAATCTTCCTGAGGGGATTAGCTAAAAGGCCTGCTCCTGAGAGAACACAGAATGTGAGGGGGGGGTACGGGTCTCTCAAATTCTTGTCCCTTGGCGACAAAGGGGTGAGGGAATGAGCCACAGAGCGAGGACAGCTACGACCCGCAGAAATTCTCTCCACCTGGAAACAGGAGTAGAGGTGCCTTCAAGCTCATTGCATTCAGCTTTTTAGAGACAGTGAATGAAGCACACTAAGGACCTTCCTTGGGTGTCCATTCTGCTGGTACCTCGTGCCCTGGGGCGCCCACACAGAATGATTTAGTTAATGCTACTGGGTGAGTCATTTGTGGGATGAATGACTTACTGGGTTGTAAAAGATGGCTCCATGCATTTCAGCAACAAAAAAAAGCAATCGAATGCATCTAGTCATAACCAAAGAACTCATGATCCAGCCTGTTACTGGAGAGTGTCAGAGAGAGAATTGATCATTGATCATTGCTGTTCAATCTTTAGTATCCATCATGCTGTCCCCTGGGGGTGGGGGTTGTGACCAGGAGGAAAAAGTACTGGAGTGGGTTGTTCACAATTCATTTCCATTCGCTGTTCTGTTTTCTTGTAACTGTATAGTTAGGACAAGCTGTGGAGTTCCAATAGCTTTTATAGTTCCTTATCTGTAAGATTCAAATTGGAAACCCTCCAGAGTGCTTGCGAGATTAGGCATACGCAAATGTCTATTGGGTCAATGCTTCTCAGATCTTAGGGTCTCAAAGAATCGGTTCAGGAACCCCTTTGAAATGGGAATTTGTTTGAACCCACATGAGAGATTCTAGTTTAATACCTCTGTGAGGGAGCCAGGAACTCACATTATTGTTAACTTTATTATTGTTTGTTTTTTAGAGACAGGGTTTCATCACGCCTTAAACTGGCTGGCCTCAAAACTCTTGATCTTCCTGCCTCAGTCTGCCAAGTAGCTGGGCCTGCAGGCTTGCCACTGCTCCTGCTAGGATTTGCATTTGAACAAACCCCACAGGTTATTCAGATGCTCATGGTCAAGTCCTGCATCCTTCCAGATACCATAGTAGGGCCCTCCAAAGGGGTTGTTGAAGCAAAGCACAATGCTGATAAATGTCTCTAAATTGAGAGTAGAGAAGAGGTGTTTCCTTTGGACTTACTTATCCATGATTTGTTCTAGTCGTGACAAATGTCAGTTGTGGTTATTAGGTTTGGATTACCCCAGAGAGATTTGGTTTGTCACAAACCACAGGTAGGATACAGGAAGACGCCCAGAATAGCTTCCTATTAAAGCCTCCTGATGGCAACAGTTCCCAGGAATTGTAATGTTAATAGCCTGAGCCCGGCACTTTGAGCTGAGAAGGCAGAGAGAATTGTTGTATTTGAGGACCACAGATCCTGGCAGGGGTGATATGGTGCCACCCCTGTCCCGGAGACCCCAGGCACTTTGAGCTGAGAAGACAGAGAGAATTGTTGTATTTGAGGACCACAGATCCTGGCAGGGGTGATATGGTGCCACCCCTGTCCCGGAGACCCCAGGCACTTTGAGCTGAGAAGACAGAGAGAATTGTTGTATTTGAGGACCACAGATCCTGGCAGGGGTGATATGGTGCCACCCCTGTCCCGGAGACCCCAGGCACTTTGAGCTGAGAAGACAGAGAGAATTGTTGTATTTGAGGACCACAGATCCTGGCAGGGGTGATATGGTGCCACCCCTGTCCCGGAGACCCCAGGCACTTTGAGCTGAGAAGACAGAGAGAATTGTTGTATTTGAGGACCACAGATCCTGGCAGGGGTGATATGGTGCCACCCCTGTCCCGGAGACCCCAGGCACTTTGAGCTGAGAAGACAGAGAGAATTGTTGTATTTGAGGACCACAGATCCTGGCAGGGGTGATATGGTGCCACCCCTGTCCCGGAGACCCCAGGCACTTTGAGCTGAGAAGACAGAGAGAATTGTTGTATTTGAGGACCACAGATCCTGGCAGGGGTGATATGGTGCCACCCCTGTCCCGGAGACCCCAGGCACTTTGAGCTGAGAAGACAGAGAGAATTGTTGTATTTGAGGACCACAGATCCTGGCAGGGGTGATATGGTGCCACCCCTGTCCCGGAGACCCCAGGCACTTTGAGCTGAGAAGACAGAGAGAATTGTTGTATTTGAGGACCACAGATCCTGGCAGGGGTGATATGGTGCCACCCCTGTCCCGGAGACCCCAGGCACTTTGAGCTGAGAAGACAGAGAGAATTGTTGTATTTGAGGACCACAGATCCTGGCAGGGGTGATATGGTGCCACTTCTGTCCCGGAGACAGCACCAACGCGTACATCTCACAGTCTACTTATCTGCCCAGCTCTTACACCAACGGGTGGCTGAGCCTTCGGCAAGTCCCTGGAGTTCTCTGGACTTGACTTCCATAACTTTTAAGTTCATGCCTGATGGCCCATAATAGTTCATTGTATTTGTCAATTTTCCCCAGGCCACGTACCCAGATAATTGGGCAAATACATTTAGATGTCATTCTGAAGGCATATTTTTGAAGTGATTTACACTCAAATCAATAGATTTTGGGTGAAAGAGATTACCCTTCATAATGTGAATGGGCCTTATCAATTAAGTTGAAGACTCTTTTTCTCTTGATTGAAGACCTAGAAAGAAAAGGGAATTCTGCCAAGAGACCATTTTTGAATTGACACTGAACTCTTCCCTGGATCTTCAACCTGATGCCCACCCTGTAGCTTTCTGACTTGCCAGTCTCCACAATCTAGTGATCCAGTTCCTTAAGGTAAATGTCTCCCTCTCTACCCACCCATCAAGAGGCCTATGTGTCCTCTGTCTTTGTTCTTCCCCTGCTTGTTGTTGATGGGTTTATGTCTGTCCACAAGGAGGGTGGGCCTTCCCCACCTGGTCTGCTCAGACTCAGCGGGCATCACCCTTGGAAACACCCCACAGGCACATCCAGAATATTCGAGGTATGTCTTGGTCCAGTCACATTAACACACAAATCACACTGTCATCTGTCTGTCTATCGATCTCTCATCTGTCCATTTCTGTCCTATTCTTTCTTTCTCGTCCTTCTAGCCTTTCTCTTTCCTTTCTTCCCTTTCTTTTCTTCTTCCTCCTCCTTCTTTCTTCCACCTATCTCTATATTATCATCCTAAGGTAATAAAATATATATTAAAATAAAATGCTAAATTTTATTTAAAAATCCAAATTTATAACACTTAATAGAAAAATATTACTTTTTAAAGGTAAATGATGGGGGCCAGCAGATGGCACGGTGGTTAAGGCGCTGGACTCCCACATGGCTGACTGCAATTTGAGTCCCAAAACCAGCAGCCTGAGAATCCTAGGAGGAGAATGGAGAAAGGATCGGGGAGAATGGGCATGGCATCCCTCCTAGAAGGCCATTTCTCACTTTTTCTCTCACTGTCTCTCTGCAGCAGGTGCACTATGGCAAATGATGAAAATGATGAAACAAAATCAAGTATATTGAGAAAGAAAAATACCATATATTAGTTTAATCTATACACCTGCATAG